GGAAGTGTCAAGGAAGATGAAATCTATAGTACTTTTGTTGACTTGATATGGAGGTTGTTGGTTAACATACACTATTCAGTTCTCATCAATGTACAATCTCATAGTTTATTTTCACTCCTCCAGGGAAGTAAAGTAAGGTAATTCTCTTTACCCTACTCTTTTCATTATATAATTGCAAAACTACTCTCTAGAGAACTTAACTGATTGTACAAGGATACTCAATTTATAGGGTATGAGATGCCTAAATGGAGCACTAATTTAAATGATATATCATATGTTGATGATACCATCATTATTACTTCCTCTAATGAATATTCATTGAATTTGATAATGAATAGTGCTTTACATGAGTATGAGGAACAATCAAGTCAGTTAGTGAACAAGCACATGAGTTTCTTCAGTCTGCATCTTAATGTTGCAAGATATAATGTAGATATTGTAGAAAATTTCCTTGGTATAAACAGGAGTTCCTTCCCATGAAACATATTAGTTGTTTAATTAACTATTCTAGGAAAAGTAAGAAGCCCTATGCTGAAGTAAATGAGAAAATCAAAGGAAAACTCCAAGCATAGAAAGGGGGAATAATATGAATAAGACCAAGCAATCATTTCCAGGTGACAACCCTTGGTGTACAGCTAATAACAATGATCAATTTTCTTTAGAAAGTGTCTTGAATCTGTCGAAAAATAAAAATAATTATTGTGCAAACCTCAGTCAATTGTGGTGTAAGGGTCTTCTATTCAAGCTCTCATTTATAGCTTGGAGGACCCGGAAGGGACAAGTTCCAATTGATGCTCTTATGCACACTTGGAACCCAACTTTCTCAGATATATATGGTTGTTGTACTTCTCCAATAGTGGGATCTATAAAGTAGTTGTTTAAAAGGGGAGATATTGATCAATGTGTTAAGAGATACTTTTTTATGGTGCTGGTATTTCTCCTTTGCTTTAGCTCAATAAATATATAAGAAAGTGATGGAGTTTGGATGGTGATCCAAAGAAGCAGGTTTTCTATCAGATAGTTTCTATTATTATTCTATAGTTTCTTTGAAAGAGAAAAAATGTCATTCTTCGTCATGTATGGAGGAACTTTTTATAAGGGCAAATTAGGTGGTGATTGATTATATTATAAAGTTAATATTTCTTGGATCAAAATACTCTTGTCAAGACCTAACATGATTTGGTTGGTTTATTAGATATCTTAAGACAATCGGGTAGCTTTAAGATTGTTAAGTGGTTAAACCTTTTATAGTTTGGTTAAGTATAACATTGATGGGACCTACCTCAGCTGCATTTTGTATTAGAGATTCAAATGGAAATTTTATGTATTTCATATGAGTTAAAATTAAGGACAACATTAATCTGATTGTTGAGGCAAAGAAGATTAGAGAGGGTCTGATTTTTTTTTAAGTAAAATGGAATTAGGAATGTAATTAGAGAGTTTGGTTCATTAACTCAAAAGCCAATACTTAATGGAGTTTGGGAAATCCTTTGTCTATTTCAATGGAGATTAGGTATTTCAAGTCTCTCATGAGGTACATAATAGTAAGGGTACAACACGGAAATACCCTTGTTGATTTCTTTGTTAACCTTGTGTTTTCTTTTGCAAGTGATTATTTATTTGATCATTTATGATAAATTCCTAGTGCTGGAAGTGTAAAAACTATGATTGAAGAGATGAAAAACACACCTAAAATGGTGGAATATGCATAAACTCCATTGATGAAGTCAAAGGTAAATTGAGCGAGAAAAACTTTTCTGATTGAATTGATAGAAGAATGAAGAAGATGCAGATTACAATTAACAATAGTTCATTTATAAAACTAATTAATTAAGCTAACCGACTAACAACTAACTAACTGTAATCCTAACTAATTCAAAGCTGACGTGTACAATAAATATCTCAACACCCCCCCCCCCCCAAGTTGGAGGTGGAATTAGCACAGCCAACTTGTCTAAAACTGCAGAGTGTTTGACTCCAGCGAGTGCCTTGGTGAGAATGTCTGCTAGCTGATCTCCAGTGCCAATATGATGTAGGGAAATTAAACCTTCTTGAATCTTGGCTCGGACAAAATGGCAATCAATTTTAATGTGTTTAGTTCTTTCGTGAAAAACAGGATTCATAGCAATTTGCAAGGCTGACTGACTATCACAGTATGCAGGAAAGGAGTCAGTGTATGGTACAGTAAGCTCTTTAAACAATCTGCTCAACCAGACTAGTTCTCCAACGACCTTTCTAATGGACCTGTACTCAGCTTCAGCAGAGGAAAGTGACATGGTTTCTTGTTTCTTAAATTTACAACTTATAGGACTTGATCCCAATAGCACAATATAACCTGTAACAGACTTTCTTGAATCAGGACATGCAGCCCAGTCAGAGTCGCAAAAAGCTTGAATTATGTAGTCATTAGTAGAAAACATAAGAAGACCTAGTGTTGGATCCTTCTTAAGATGCCTGAGCATGTGATATTCTGCCTGCAAGTGGGATTCTCTAGGGTCGTTCATAAACTGACTAAGATGTTGTACTCCATATGCAATGTCTAGTCTAGTATTAGTGAGGAAGTTTAACTTTCCAACCAGTTTTCTGTTAGAACTAGGATCTGATATAGGCTTACCCTCATTAGCTCTTAATTTAACTATTGTATCAAGAGGAGAAGTGACACTTGAGTATTGTGAGCAATGGTAGTCTTTAAGAAGATCAAGAACAAACTTCCTTTGTGATATGAGTACCCCAACTTTAGTATAAAGAATTTCTAGCCCCAAGAAATAATGCAGTTTCCCTAGATCTTTGATTTTAAACTGATTATGGAGGAAGCTTTTCAATCAATCAATTTTCACAGAATCAGTTCCAGTAAGAAGAATGTCATCTACATACACAGCGATGAACACAATGGAAGAACCTTGTTTTCTGTAAAACAGATAATAATCATTGAGAGAATGAGTGTACCCTCTGGATTTTAAAGCATATAAAATTTTGGCATACCATTGCCTACTTTCTTGTTTAAGCCCATATAGAGATTTGTTGAGTTTGCATACCAAACCCTTACTGTGTATCTTTAGTCCTTGTGGAATGTCCATGTAAACCTCTTCATGCAACTCACCATGAAGAAAAGCATTATTAACATCTAACTGATACATGTTCCAGTGTTTCTTTACAATAGTAGCAATCAGTGCCCTCACAATTGTCATTTTAATAACAAGAGAAAAAGTTTATGTATAGTATATTCCATAATGTTGTGTGTAGCCCTTCACAACTAGTCTGGATTTATACATTTCTATACTTCCATATGCTCTATCTTGATCTTGTACACCCACTTACACCCAATAGCCTTTTTACCAACATGGATAGGCACAAGATCCCAAGTATTTTTATCATACAAAGCAGTTAACTCTTGTGTCATAGCTTCTTGCCATGCAGGGTCCATAGCTTCCTCATCATGATGATGGTTCACAATCATGTGACACACTCAACAAAAGAGATTTACTGTCAGGATACAAGGTTTCATAAGCAATATGATGGTGATGAGAAAACGAGGCATGTAAGGATGTTGAAGCTTGAGTAGGTTGGTGACTAGTGCAAACATAATCTTGGAGGTAAGTTGGGGCTTTGTGAGTTTTAGTGGATTTTCTGGTAGGTGGAATTATCTTAGATGGAGTAGATAATAAATTTGGTGATGAAGGTGAACATGTAGAGGATGTATGTTCAGAATCACATTCCATTATCAAAAATAAGAGGAGCAGCATAATCAGAATGAGTATCAGGAAAAGAAGAATGCATAGACTCATAATCAGTGTCTAAGATTTGACTAGAAATAGAAGAATTCATAAAAAACCTAGAAGTAGTTGAAAAAGGAAAGATTGTTTCATGAAACACAACATCTCTAGAGATATGAATTTTCTTGTTGATTAGATTGAGGACCTTGTAACCTTTGATACTAAAAGGATATCCTATGAATACATGTGGTGTTGCTCTTGGCTGAAACTTGGTTCTGTGATGTTTAGGGGTAGTGGGATAACATAAGCATCCAAAACTCTTCATGTGAGAGTATTGAGGTTCTTGGTTGTACAGTATGGTAAATGGACATTTCTTTTGGAGTAGAGTAGTTAGAAGTCTGTTGGTTATGTATGTAGCTGTGAGTATACACTCACCCCAATATTTGGTTGGTAACTTCGATTGAAATAAGAGTGCTCTAGCTGTTTCTAAAAGGTATTTATGCTTTCTTTCAACCACACCATTTTGTTGTGGTGTGTAAGGGCATGATTTTTGGTGAAGTATTCCCTTGGACTGAAAATACATGATGGATTCTTGGTTTAGAAATTCAAGACCATTGTCTGATCTTATGGTTTGAATTGTTGTATGGAACTAGTTTTCAACCATATTGACAAAAGACTTTAAGATGTGCAATGCGTTGCTTTTACAACTCAATAAATGTGTCCAACTGCATCTACTAAAGTCATCAACTAGGGTAATGAAATTTGAGATTGTCATAAGTAGGTACATGATAAGGTCCCCACAGATCAACATGAAGTAATTCAAACAGTTTAGATGTAGTGTGAGTTTTGGGTGGAAAGGGTAACCTGGTCTGTCTAGCCATAGGACATATGTTGCAAATGAAATGCTTCTTAGGGGGAAATTTCACAGGGATTGATGAGATGCCTTTTATTTTTAAAAATGGAACATGGCCTAGTTTGTAATGCCATAATAGATCATTGTAATTTGTATGATGTAAATGAAACATAGAATCAGAAACAACATTGTGTGCATTACTTGGAATGGTGTTTAGATACATTTGAAACAGAATGAAAACATGGACTTATTACATTGGAAAAATAACCAGAATTATTATGTGAAGTGAAATGCAAACATGAAAAACACATTGACAATGAGAGACTATTTTATTGTTATGAAAAGAAGGGCATTAAACTGTAATTGATTATTGGGGAATGGAAGAACTCTTTAGCAGACAATCTGAACAAAGGAAATATAATCCATCTTGTGCTCTACCAATCTCCAGAGGCCTCTTTAGTGAAGGGCCCTGCAAGATACAAGACGACTCAGAAAAAGAAGCAATACATTTGAGATATGATGTTAGAGAACTGATAGAGAATAGATTATATTTGAAGGAAGTAAATGAATAGAACTTTGTACAATGTGATCCTATCAGTAAGCCTTACATCTCAAATTTCAGTAACTTTAACATTGTATCCATTTGGCAATTTTACGAGGAGAGGGAATGGTAGTGTGGTGATGTTAAAAAAATTGTTTCTAGTGAAGGTCATATGGTGTGTAGCTCCTGAGTCAAGTATCCATAAATCATTCCTTGATTTTAGACAACCACGTGAAAGTATATTAAAATCAGTAGATGAGTGACAAGCTACAATACCTGCAAAGTTTGCAGCTCCACATGTTATCTTCTCATCAGTGTTTCTATCTCCTGTTTTCCCCAACTGTAAATGTTGCAATAGGCTAATAAGCTGACCACATTGTTCACTAGTGAGACTGGCATATGGAGATTCATCAGTTCCTATGTTAGGATCATCAGCAAAAACATTAGCTTCTACTCCTTTACCCTTAGTAAATCTGTGGTTTTGATTGTTGATTGATTCCCTTTGATTTTGAGTATTGGTGTATCTGTTCTGATTGAAAAACTATCCAGTAACATTGGTGTTCTGGTTGGGATAGCCATGTTATTTGCAACATTTATCAATAATGTGCCCTGATTTCCTGCAATAACTACAAAAAGGCCTAGATCTATTTTTTGCAGATTGATTATTAGATGAGTAATTTGTTCCGAATGGTCTTCCAGTCAAAGAATTTGATGAGCTAGCATTCATAAAAGAACTTGATGATCTAGCATTCACAGAAGAGTTCATTGAACTTCCTTCAGCGGATATCTGACTTTGGGGCTTGAATTCTCGTTGTTTCTCTTCTTGAACTAACAAGGCAAAAGACTGAGCCATAGATGGTGAAGGATTCATCATTAGTATACTACCTCTAATGACTGTGTAGACTTCATTCAGCCCCATTAAGAATTGAATTAACCTTCTGTCCTGTTCTGCCTTATGCAAAGTGTCTTTTCCCCCACAATTACATACACAACTGCAATGATTTTTAATGTTCAAATTACTCAACTCCTCCCAGAGTATCTTCATTTTAGTGTAACACACAGTAACATCAAGTATACCTTGATTGAGATCATTGATCTCCTTTCGAATCTGAAAAAGCTTAGCCCCATTCGTTTGATCATAACGATCCTCCAACTCCTTCCACAACTCTGCAGCATCACAAACATATTCTACACTGTCTGCAATATCCTTGCTAAGATAATTAAGAATCCATGATGTGACCATATTGTCACATCTTTTCCATTGACGATACTAAGGGGAATCAAGGGCAGGTTGTTGGAGTTCACCAATAATAAAACCTAATTTGTTTTTCACAGATAAGGATCTCATTACACTTCGTCTCCATGATCTATAGTCAATTCCATCAAAGTTCGCAGTAACTAAAACTAGATTTGGATTATCAGACGCATGGATATAAAGTGGATTACTTACATCAATTTTGTTTCCCCCTGCTATAGTAGAACTTTGGCCAGTGATCTCAACCATGATGAACTTTGTTTGCTTGAAAACGATGATAAACAATCAAAGAATCAGAAAGAAGAGAAGGTCGAAACTGCTAAAAAAATCGATGAAAACTGATGAAAAACTGGAAATTGCCGACGAAAGCCTACACCGGTTCTGATACCATGTAAAAACTTGATTGAAGAGATGAAAAACACACCTAAAATGGTGGAATATGCATAAAATCCATTGATGAAGTCAAAGGTAAATTGAGAGAGAAACTTCTCTGATTGAATTGATAGAAGAATGAAGAAGATGCAGATTACAATTAACTAGAGTTTATTTATACAACTAATTAGTTAAGCTAACAGACTAACAACTAACTAACTGTAATCCCAACTAATTGAAAGATGAAATGTACAATAAATATCTCAACAGGAAGGAAGTTGTTACATTAAGACAAAATGGACACTTCAAATCTAAGTAGAGTCATGATCTTGGCTTCAGATATATTGGTTTAACTTGTTAATAATTGGATACAAGCTAACTTGTGTGTCTACAAATAGCATTAAAAAATACATTAAACAGAGATATCTTCAGTTTTAAGTTTGAAGTATTTTTAATTGATTTGAATATCTGCACATGTGAGAGTTCATGTGTTCCTCCGATGTTAAGTCAAGATCAGTAGAATGACGTTTATCGCCATTGTTGACCTATTTGGCCTAGGGAATTATCTAACCCACAAAATAGATGTTTGAATAAGAAATCATCTCTATATCAATTATTCCCTTCGTCTCATTTATGTGATACCATTTCTTTTTTGGTCAGTCCCGAAAAGAGTATCACATTTGCTTATATGGTAAGTATTTAAATGTACAATTCTTCTTTTACTTTTGTTGGTCAAATTTAATTTTAAATATAGTACTCTAATACATTTATGAGGAGAGAGAAAAATGTGAGTTAACTTTTTTGATGTACAATTTGATAAATATTTCAAATTCTTCCTTATTTCTTAAACTCCGTATTTGATCAAATATCGACACATACAATGGGACGAAGGTAATTTTTTTTACTTTAAACAGTGAAATTGATGGTGATATCAATTTCGATGGAATTCAACCCATCGTTCCTAAGAATAAAGGGGAGGATTTATATATATGAGAAAATCATTAAGTCATTCGAAATAAGATATTTATTTATTTGTTAGGCTTGGTAAGCTTAAGGTATGTATTAAATCTACGACTTTGAGCAAGAAAGTAACTTGAATCTATCATTTGAGCTCAAAATTTACACTTAAGATCTACAAGATGTAAAAGGATGAGTTGAAATTAATCCACAAAAATCATTATTCAAAAGGAGTATATTCTTATATAAAAGTTGTTTTGTGTACGAAGAGGACAAATTGACCAAACGAGAATCGATGAACTTCCAGACATCTCTAATAGCTTTTGATGTTATGTAGTCCTTTTTTCTCATTTCCTATTTTCTTTTTTACTTTCCTCTTCTTTTTTTTGGACAACGCCACTTTTGGGCCTTATCCATATAATAGAAAAATATAATATAGGAGTAATATTACACATATATAGAAGTAAACTTTATAGTAAAGTAAAAACCTCAAAACACAAAAAACTACTCACTTCAAAACTACTTTTACATAATATACTAAATAGATATAGGCCCTATCTTGCTGTGACTTGCCTTGGAGGTAGTCCTTCCTCAGAAACATTAGTAAATAGATCAATACTTTTAGACAATGCATACACAATTTCAATCATCCTGGGCCTTTTTGATGGATCTTTATTCAAACATGAAATAGCCACAGACATCACATTCACAATACTCTCCATTATTAATTCTTCCCTTAAAAGACTTTCATCGATCCATTCTTGCAATTTCCTTACCTTCCTCTCTTCACTTCCTTCCGAAAAATCGCCAATGTTAGCCCACAAGACTTTTCCTTCATCATCTATAGCTTCCTTCCCTGACACTAGCTCGAGCAACACAACTCCGAATGAGAAAACATCCATCTTAGTGGATACAATCCCATCGGTTAGGTACTCAGGGGCGATATACCCCTGAGTACCTACAATGTGCATTGTTATAGCATTGCACCCTGATTTAGCTAGACCAAAATTGGCAGCTTTGGGCTCTCATGTTGGAGTCTAAGAGAATGTTGCTAGTTTTAATGTCTTTGTGGACAACTCTTGGCCTTGTATGTTCATGAATGTCAATTCTTAGTCTTGTTTTCCAACTCAACTTTTCAGGTTTTTCACCATGAATCCATGAATGTAGTGAACCATTTTCAACATACTCACACACAAAGAAGCAATTTGCTTCTTTAGGGTCTATGCAAAAACCTTCTAGCTTCACCAAATTCCCATGGTTCACCGACACAAAACAAAACAAAAAAAGGAGGAAATTATTAAGTAGTCATACAATACAACAATAACATATTCAGTGTCATGCACAAAGTATGGTCTGAAGATGGTAGAGTCAGGGGTGGACCTACCCTGCACAAAGTAAAGATGGTAGAGTCAGGGATCAACCCACCCTTGGTCGAGGAAAATTACATTGTATATAGAGGTTAAATTTTAGTGTATATATATATATATAAGTATTGATATCTTTTGACACAAGTGGAAAGTTTAATCTTGTCACGACCCAAAACGGGTCGTGAATGGCACCCACACTTACCTCCTTAGGTGGGCGAACCAACACATCTAAACCCCAACATATACCAATAGTTCAACTATAAATAATATAAATAATGCGGAAGCTCCAAAAGATACTAAGCAACCAATTTAAATAAGTTTCTAAAGTTTAATACTTATCATCCCAAAATCTGATAGTCATCACATCAAGGACATCTAATCTCCAATACTAAGTCTAAGAATATCGAATACACTAAAATAAAGAATAAAATGGTATGTGTCCGAAAGTATAGGACATCATGTCGTGACCGAGAGAATCCAACACGAGCTTGAATGGATAGCTCACCCTGTAACTTGATATGTGGGAGGCTGGCTAGAGCTGAGGGAAATCAGAAGTCATAGATACACTCGCTGCATTTCATAAGAGGAAAACAAAGAAGAAAACAAGTAGGAATCAGTACGAGGCAACATGTACTGAGTAAGTATCATTGGTCAACCCAAAATAGTAACTAATATACAAAGAATAAAAGTATGAACTCAACTATAGCACTTAACATGTGATAAGCAACAAACAACATGAACAAGTGTCAATAACAATAATAAGCACGTATTAAGTCAATGGTATCAAGATCACACATGAGGACTCATGCCTCCAAACCAAACCATTTTGGGAGTTGAGTTCTTTGAGATTGAAAATCTTCCATTAATTCAACATATATTTCCTTTAATATTATCGTGTCGGAACGTGACACTCCGATCCAAAAATACCGTGTTGGAACGTGACACTCCGATCCAAGAATACCATGTCGGAACGTGACACTCCGATTCAAGAATACCGTATCAGAACGTGACACTCCGATCCAAAAATACCGTGTCGGAACGTGACACTCCGATCCAAGAATACCGTGTCGAAACGTGACACTCCGATCCAAGAATACCGTGTTAGAAAGTGACACTCTGATCCAAGAATACCGTGTCGGAACATGACACTCCGATCCAATTATACTATTAATTTATCCTTTATTATCACCGCTTTCAATTCATTGTTATATTATTTTCATCAAGCCTTCTTTATTCAAGGCATCACTTTGATAGATAGGATTAGAGAATATAAATTCTACGGTCTCAGGATTTCAGACCAATCACAAACCACACAACCAAATCACACAATCACACAGTCAAGTACATAGAGAACTTCACAATATCATTCAAGGCATATCAATCACTATTAAGAGTTTACTATCAAATAGCATAAACCATAACCTACCTCCACCGAAGAATCGAAGTCAAGCAACTACTTCTCCAATGACACTCCGATTATCTGTGTCTAGCCTATACCCATCAATTCACCTAATTCTATAATCAATCTCTTAAAGTTTAAGCCTAATGGTAAGTCTTAATTCCTCCTATTAGCATAACTTTAGTGGAATTTAAATAACTCGATAAACCTAATATTTAATTACCTAAGTCAATATTTTAAAACTTGGCTCATAACAAGATAAATATGGAAAGAATTGTAATTTAAGGTTACGTCTATGTCCAGTAACCTCTACCAGGGAAAATCAAAACAACATGTTACATAATTTATAACACCCATATGCAAAAATTCTCAATTTTATCATAGAAATATCAAAGTTTATTATCCCACCTTACTCTCTTATTGGTTATATATTTGGTCTCAATTTTATAATCAATAATTACATAAGAATTTAAAACCTTCCTACTATTAATTGTTTGTTATTCTTCAATAGACCATTAGGCCATCATTATATGCAATTCAAAACAAAGGCATTTGTCATTCAATATAACAACTTGAATCGCAAAGAACGTGATAATACATAACATACGAAATTTATTTTAAAATAGTAAACACATGACGGTAACAATTTAATCCTCCATGAACTAATTAAATTTTCTATATATAACTTTCACTTGCCACTCATCCACCAACTTTAAGTCAATTCTACCAAACATTACACTAAGACATATATTAAAATGTACGCCCGATCCCTCTTCACAATAACATAGTTCTAATTTATATATATATATGCACACACCTTTTCCTTCCAATCAAGAACATAACAATAGTAATAATAATAATACTCACAAGCAGTTTCTGTACAATCCAATACG